AAAGTCACTCTTACATTATGAAAGGTTCAGTGGATTCTCTTTCTAAATCGGAGAGTTACATGATACAATGGCGAAACAGAAAGCTTATCTGTTCTTTTAAGTTATTTTTTTATAGATAAAATTAATATATAAGGACAATAAGTGCATACCGGATGCTTAGAGATTTCAGTGCAGTTTGGTTTATTTTCATATTTCACATTTCACATTGTTGGTTTTGTTTTAAGTGAAATATAATGATTATAATTATTATCCATTTTGACTAGCAGAAATACAGACAAAACACAACAACCTTGGTTTGCTTATAGTTACTGGTATATTAAGGAATGAGTAAAATTATTGATTGGAATTGAAACAAAAACAAGATACCTAATAGTTTTATAGATGTCCACTTCTTATGCTCTTTGATATGATAATGATACTTGTCTCGTAAACATGACACAAGTAACCATTTTTAGATCAGTAAAATTAAAACCTTACACTACTTTAAGGTCATAACTTCGATTGATGTCACTCTCAGGATTCTAAATCAATATTAATTTGAGATTTCTTTCTATCAGTCTCCTTTGAAAAAAGAAAATTGGGCTATACATTATGATGGTTGGAAAAACATAGGCAATATTGGGCAAAAAGCACCCCCCCCCCCCCTGGAGGTATATAAGGAATTGGCCTACCAATTGAAGAATGTGTAACTGGCAGAATATATTATGGTCCTGTGTGCCTAGTCAAAATGGGCATTTTAAAAGGGGAAGGAGTGGATTGCCTAAATTCATTCCTATGAATTGCAAAATAAAATCCTATATTTCAACTGAGAATTGAACAAATTACATTTAGTTCAGGATGCCTATATACTGTGATCCATAATCTTGTGGAAACTATGAAGAAGAAAAAAGTTCAGGACCATGTTTTGTGGAATTCTTTTCTTTTTTATTAGTAATTTAGAAAGGTGACTTTAGACCAATGCATTGGTAAAATAAACGGAATAGGGGTGGTGATACAGGAGAGAAGGTACTTCAGAAAAGGATCCTGGGCATCTGACAACATGAAAACATCATGCACCATATTGCCAAGTTCTTCCCCCAGCTAGCTGAACGATATGTGCAGGTCCCATAAGTAAGTCCTCGGACAGGAAATTGAATTCTCAGAGTTGCTTCCAGTGGGCTGGATGAGGATAGGAGAACCTTAGGATATAGAGGGGTGAGGGGTTAAACGATAATGAATTCAACCTTAATATGATGAAGCCAAGTGCCAGACACTTATCTAGGGAAGCTATAAGTATAGGAGGATTAAAGATGAAGGGTGTGTATTATTTAATGTATTATTTAAACACACACAGGGAAAGAGTTGGGGAGACTTAACTTTTGGAGATAGATTAGTAAAGGGATGGAGGAGTGTAATGGATACAGCAACTTTGGTATATAGGGGTAAGGAACCTTTAGGAGAGGACGGAATGTTGTAAAGAATTCTACTACACTTATGTGAAAATTGAACCCATTGCCTACAACTGGAGCCGGGTGATCACTGTATTAAAACTATGGGGATTCAACAACATTCCATTGAAATGCGTGTTAAATCTAATACGCATGTTTCATTGGGTTATCAGCGAACTTGTACTTATTATGATTTCGTGATACGATGTCCAGATGAATTGTAGAGATAGATGGTATTGAATGAAAGCGTGGTGATGAATTCAACTGCAGTGAGGTAAAGAGTTAGGAATAGGTTGCTTGTAAATATAGAAGGAAAAGGGGTAGATGGGTGAAGTGAATTCACCTACGTTTTAGTGAATACTAAAGTCGGCTTATGAGGGTTGAGTAACCTGTAGAGATAGAGGGTGAGGGATGGAATGTGGTTTAATGAATTCAGCCACACTGTGGTGAAGAGTTAACCTGTAGATACAGACGGGTAAGAGGTTGGAGAGATGTAATGAATTTAACCACACTGCGATGAACCGTTAGAGATAGGGTACTTATATAGAAAGAGGGATATGGAGTAAAAAACTGTCAAAGATTTGACCAGACTGGTGCAGGGACCTGTTTCACAAAGCCTTTTTTCAATGACAAATATCAAATATCAGTGACAAATCTGCTGATAACCAATCAGAAGCAAGGATTTCAGTAGCTTATAACTAAAACTGTCATGTGTCACTGATGACAAGTTTTGTGAAACACCCCCAGGTCTTTTGACTTTGGTAGAGTGACATAGGTTAGAACCTTTAGAGATTGGGGGATGACGTGAACAATTTAAGGAATGGATTAAACCAAAGAGATAAAAACTGAAGTAGACACTTGAGAGTACGGAACCTCCAGGATACAGAGGAATATTGTCTAGAGGGGTTCATGGAATTAAATTGTCTGCGGTGGAGAGCAGCAGATCTTGTAGGAACAGAGGGAGAGAGAGAGAGAGAGAAAGAACGAGAGAGAGAGAGAGAGAGAGAGAGAGAGAGAGAGAGAGAGAGAGGGAAGAGGGGTGGTGAAGGGTGTAATTAATTCGTCCTCTATGTCAGATCGACTGAGAACATTTAACTCTTTTAGTGACCAGAAAATGAATCCAGAAATATCTAAACTAGAAAGATAACAGGTCATGTTGAATACAGAATGAAAAATAAGATTATAATACAATCAGAATGGTACGATTCTAATAATCTTGAATACATAATGGGCAACTGAGAAGGTGCAAAACCAAATTTAGAAATGGATTTTTGTTCCATGTCAAGTTTCAAATGAATATCCTTCTTTTATTAGATTTTAGCCTATGCAAATGAGCTGATGAACTACAGGATTTCTTGGTTTCTAATCACATGGAAATGCAATAGAAACGATCCTGTTTATCCGAGAGTTCTGCAGCTTGGTTCGTTCAAGCTACTGACAGAGAGCCTTTCAGGACATGCAGAAACAGGATTGAAACAAAATCATAGCCCAGCAAAGTATGATAATGTAATCATTTATAGAAGGGTTTCTTTAGCATCCAATCCTCCATATCCTCATCATCACCTATCCGCCACCAGCCCCCTCAGACGCTGGCTCGGTTAGACAGAAACGGGACACATTACCCCTAAGGGTGAACAGATGCACGTCTGGCTCAAACCGTCACGAAGAATGGAACATTTTTTTATTAGCTCAGATTCCTTTACTGTAGTATAAGCAATGTATTATCAATCCAAGCGCTGTCTGGTCTGAGACACATTGTCTCTGAGGTGTATTTATGTCTAGAAAGTGCATGGCTAAATCCTATTTGGGTGATTTTACCAAACTCTAACCGATGTCTTATCTGTCCAAGCACTGTCTTATCTGAGCCATGCATTGTCTCTGAGGTGTATTAATGTCTAAAAGATCCATGGCTAACTCCTATTTTAGTGATGAGGGATACTGAACACACAAAAAGCATCACTCACAAATTGATTTGGTTATACTGTTCCAATGTGGTTGGGTAATAAGAGGAAGGTGGATATATATAAGCAGTACAGTGTGGATGATTGTGTGTCTGTGAAAGAGTGTGTATTGTACTTTATTGCCTACAGTGATGTTTGTTTCAAAAAAAGTTCTCTTGAGCTTTAAAAAATGTATTTCTTTTTTCCCATCTCTTCTTATTGTTTTCTATTTCTGATGAACTAACCTGCTTTTTATTCACAGATCAGTCGCATGTAAAGCTTGTCAATTTATCCATAACTGGATAAGAACTCTTTATTTGCTGAGGATGAGGTGTGCCTAAGTGGATTTGTGTGTTCTGTACAAGCTTAGGAAAAGATTGTATTTTTAGAATAAATTGAATTGAATGTTTGTCTCTGGGTGTGTGGTGTGGTCCTGAGTATCTGCTTGCATAGAGGATTGTAAATGATATTCAAACTAATTATCAACAGCATTGTTGGATTTCATATCATGTGATACATATAGTGAACATATGATGCCCTCTTTCAGATGGATTTGGAGATTTGGTAAAACCTTCATTCTGATGTAATGTAATTTATTTTTTGGAAACGGGTTATCTAAAAAAAATTGTCACATATTCCCATTCATCTTGGTATCATTTCTTATAAGACTAATTCTTTCATTATGAACATTTAATTCAGGAACGTACCAGAGGCTTACATCTGCATCACCAAGAAATTAACACATATTGTTTATAACAGTGAGCATTTAAAAGAATGCCTCCTTGAATAGATCCCGTAGCTTAGTGAGTTTGATCTACTCTCATCCTCTCTGGTGGCAGGCTGGAGTGTGTCCGTCCCTCAAATCCTATCTTAATCTTGTTTTTATACCCTAGCATTCATCACTTCTTCATAATCTTGTCTCAGCAGCATGCAAGCTGTAAAGCTGAGCCGAAAGCGAATCTGACGATGTGTCTCGACCGGATTGTTCTGTCACTGTTTAAAGCATGGCCTATGTATTGTGGGATGGCTTATTAGCAGAGCAAATGTTTATTCCTTATTTAAGAGTATGCATATTTCATTTAAGAACTTCAAATTATATGTTAATTGTATTTTTCATGTATGTAGTATGAAGTAGTATACGTATGTACATATATACACATATAACTTGGAAGTATATTTTATGATGTATTAGTTGCTAATGGCTATGTGGGCCTGATTCTCGCAGTTACTGCATTGAAAGCTTCACACATATATTCTCTGTGTTGCTTTGTATCACTTTAGTATAAAAGAAACCTGGTACAGTGGAGCACATTATAATCTATAATCAATTTGAATGAGCCCCTAATTACTTCATCTTCCCAGTTATTATACAGAAGCACCAATTTTCTAAACCCTTCCCAGAATCCTTTGCACCTCAGCACCAAGATTGATTCTCTTCCCTCCTGTTCTTTCCATATCAATCCCTGTCTATCCTCCATCAATATATCTTTCATGATGAATGAAACCCGTCTTAACAATCTCTCTTCCTTCTGATCCCCCTCTGATGACCTTTATATTCTGACCTTTGACCTTGGGCTCTCTGTTTCTCTCTATCTGTGTCATTCTCCCGCTACTGTTCCTTTGCACTATGTAGGTGATCACTTTAGAAGGCTGGGTTGATATCCAGTATCACTTGCAGGATGTCTACTCTCCCTGGATATGGATCTATTATGTGTTTTTGATCATTGTAAGTATATCTTATCCCACCGCTACCATCCCCCAAAAAGGCATCAGGTTACAATGCAAACTCTCCACCATAATCCACCCTGTAACACAACTCCACAACCATGCATTTAATCACGTTCCTATAATTTTGTTTGCTATTATTGCCTGCTGCACATGTATTCTTCAAGTCTCACCAGCCATTAACCCAACCTGATGTACTTTTTATAACCCTTTTTTTTTTTTTACAAAATATCATCCTCGTTGCATTATATCTTGTGCATTTTGTGTGTAATCATGAGCATTAACTTGAATGTCTGCATGAATGTTTGTTTCCATATTCTGCTGCTTGCCTGTGTAAAACAAAGTAACATGCATCACTCACAACTAATGTTTATGTAAGAAATAACATTGCATTTGCCCCTAACAAGTTAATGCCTACCTAATACAAGACAGGTTTCATTTTTTTTTTGCAGTTTTGTATATACCTCTGTTCAATCCTAAACATTTTCAATCATTATTTTTTAAATTTCATTTCCATTTTCATTTTCAGCAAGAGTGGATCCTTCCCTGTCACAATTGTCACAATATAGGAGGATGGTGTCTTTCTTGAGGATTCTTTAAACAAAAACACCACCATCCTCCCCTGCTTGTAAACCAATCCTTTGAAAGTTCTTTCCAAAGGTTCGCATCGCTGCAGACCTCAACAAGAGCTAGTCCTATCAACAATGGCTGATCTCACCGGTCACCTCTTGTTCATTCTTGTTACCCTTCACACTTTGTCTCTCCATTCACCCCACCCCCCTCATACCCCCCTCCCCCAGGTGATCACACTAGAAGGATGGACGGATATCATGTACGAAATTCAAGATGTCCATAGTTTTTGGAATTGGGCCTATTTTGTGATTCTTATTGTTGTAAGTATGACGATTGTGATTGCTTAATCCCGCAGACTTCAAGGTGTAGATGGTGTAGTTGTGTGACATGTTGTGCTAGATGGACAGTACCTCTCACAAGCACCCTAGTCTCAGTTTATATCCCTGGCTTGTTCACATGGTATTTCAATGGTTATTATATGTCTTCTCACATTCTCCTCAAATTCTGCTTGATGTCATGTTCTCAATGATTATCACAAATCACAAAATCAGTATTTAATCCTTTTTGTTTGTCTTTCATGTTGTTTCGATAGTTGTTCATTTCTTTTGTGACTTTTGTCTGGTGTATCCGTATAGGCTGCTTTCTTACTTTGTCTTATGTTACTGCTTTTGTGTCCATTTGAAACGAGCAGTCTTTTCCATACATGAATGATCAATTTCAAAATTATCTTTTTCAATCTTGTATGCTCTTCTTGGTGAATATCGTGGTCACTTCTTGTGCCTTTTTGTTTACAAAAAATAAATCATGAAAAAAAAAGCTATCACGCAAACATGTATTTTTATAAAATACATTTTCCAAGAGAGAGTACTCTAGATTTCATTTAAGATTAAATTAGATGTATGCATACAATTTTGTTCGAAGGCTGCCACCATTCCCTGCATGTGTTTTTTCTTGTTGTGTAGCTTTAGTGTTTATTTTAAACATCTGTAGTAGATGTGAACGCACTCTACAGAAAATGAATTAATAAGGTAGATGTAGCTTCAATTAGTTAAATGAAAATGCTTCCATTAATTTCAGGGTACAGATTTTTAGTTTTCACCAAACAACATAGATGCTCATGTTGAAATGCATGGATGTTGAGTTTCACTGAATTGTGTTATGAGTAAAACTTGGGAAAAGGACCTGAGGAAAAAATGGCACTTTGAAAATGTGATCCCTTTTTCCTGCCTACCTCTGGTGTCTAATATCGAGAAGCCAAGCAAGCTAAAGTGGGTAACGTGATGAAACACTAATGCCCTGACTAGCAGGAAGAAATTAATCTCTCTCAGAAATATGCATGTTTAACGTGAAATATAAAAAAATCACTCGCACACCACTGGCCATTCCTAACGTCAAACATGTACTGTCAATGATTATGTTGAAGAAAATCAATACTGAACAGTAGAGTCTCGGCCATTTTGTGTTCCTTTGGCATGAAATTTCATCTGGGTCTGAAGAAGAAAAAAATCAAAGCCTTTGTTCCTAGAATGAGAATTTTTTACCCAAAGGCTTGATGTCTGGAAATATGTAGGTTTCAGGAAAAATGAAAAAGATTAAATTCCTGTGATACAGCATGATAACGGCATTTTGAGTTTGCATCTTGTGCATAGACATACATGTGCATTTGTTACATGTCCAACAAATTTTCATTATGCGTTCTAGACACGTCTTTTTGTGCCATTGGTTTTTGCTAAGCTACTTATCCTAATGTCAATCTCATCATTTCATACAAATTACCTATTATGAATATGTAAAGATCATATGATAATGAAACCACTCTATCATTTCTATTTCATCTCTAAATTGATTTCATTTTTTAGTATATTTCATTTATTCATATCATCACAGACTTACAGTAATTTGTATGGAATGGCAAGATTGACATTAGTCATTTTATGAATCAGTAAACTTAGTGAAAACTGGCTTAACTATAGAGTTGAGAATACAGGCTATTGATCCCGAATGTTGTTGCATGATTTTTAAATAAAATTTATCTTTTTTTTCTGATTATATCCTCATGAAATGATGGAGTGCCTGTATGTGTTTATCAAAAAATCTGTGTTGAAATCTCTTCATGTCCAGATTTAGTCCAGACCTGACTTGCATGTTGGTGTACAAGCCATAGTTCACATCTCACTACCTTGCGAAAGGTTGAACCTTTCCTCTTGTTGTTACGAGTTATAGAGTTTTTTTGTTTTCTTTGCTACCCTAGTTGTGTCTCCGTCCATGTAAACAATTTTTATTGGTTCTCTTTTGTTTTGTTAAGCTGAGTAGTTGATAGCTTGCTAATTTCATCTGGACATGTATAACCGTGTACATGTCTATGCTTGCATTTACTTTATCAACTAATATCTCTTCATTAACTAACCTTTGGCATTTGGCATTCAATAGCTTGCATATATGTGTTTGCTTATCTCTAACTTACCTCATCAATTAACGCACCTTGGTACAATGTTTTACTTTTTGTTGTGTAAAACATAACTGTTATCAAATATTAATTTGTATTAGATATAGAATTTTCTCTCTCGATCTTAGAGGTTCCTCAAATAGTTATCTGAAATAGTAATGATGTTTTCCAAGAATCTATCACTATAAACCTTTTTATAAAACTCTTGGGAATTTCAGAAAAAAGATACAACTGTCAAATTCTAAAATTTGTGAACACAATGTATGGATAGACCTTAAAAGTGCATGCAGTAATATGCTAAAGTATTGAGAGATAGGGACAATATCCTGTCCAAACGAGACCCAATCTCACCCAACTATTTTCAAACCCAGACATTGTATGTTATAGAGTCAGATTCATACGAGGTGGGACAGATTCTGACACGTGCCAATTTCTGTCCCCGACGATCCGAGCAATAAAAGTGTGGCGCGTCATGACGATGCAGTGTGTGTTAGATTGTGGTTTAGATTGACACTGAGGTTTTAGTTTACTATCCTATCATCACTCAGGTAGGCAAGGTATCTACGTCATTCCCAGGGTCCTCCTAATACTGACATGGCCATCCAATACCTCGCCCCTAGTCACATTGATATTATCGTGCATTAACACACAGAATCTCAAACTTTGTTGAGTGTATTGTCATTTCGCTTAACCCTCCCTTAGACCACTGATTTCAGAAAACAGTTAACAACGATATAACCTTTTGAATGCAGAACCTCAAGACTGACTTTTTGTGTCATGTCCAAATTTGGCAAAAAATATCAAGTAGTGAATTCAATTCCAATTTGTAATTCAAAATTTTGGTTTAATTGACTAAAAACAATTTAGAATCTGGAAGACATTTACAATCCTTGACACTGAAAGTATAGTTCGCTTTAACAAATTTTAAGTTTTAACCCCCCCCCCCAAAAAAAAAGAAAAAAAAGAAGAGAAAAGTGAATTTCTTTTAGAAATATTTGTGCCTGATTAATGTGACTCTTACTACAAGAATAAATAGCTAAAGTTAAGTATTACTAAGACATCCATTTCTTGAAGGAGAATCAAGGAAACCTTTCCCAAATTATCAGATATCTTAATTCATTCCATTAGTATGAAAAGCATGAGATCTTAAAGTCACTTTGGTCTACTCCACAAAATAAAAATATAAACATTATTAAAATTGGTTTTAAGTTCTCGTGATTTTTCAATATTAGGATTTACCATAATTTTGATGTTTCAAAAGTTTATAATTTTTAAAAAATCTGTATTGTAATCTGGCACTAACATGATCTTATTCTGCTTTCTGAAAATTAAACAGATTGGTGCCTTCTTCTTGATAAACTTGTGTTTAGTCGTCATAGCAACTCAGTTTTCTGAGACCAAACAGAGAGAAAGCAAGCTCATGGAAGAGCAACGTAAAAGATTTCGATCTAGCAGCACGCTTGCAAGTAACGGCGAAGTTGGAAGCTGCTACGATGAAATCCTGAAGTACATTGGACATTTATGCCGTCACGTGACCCGTCGGTTTCGGCGGTGGCGAAAACGAATGCACAGTAAGCGAAAGAGCAAAGTCATGCCAGCAATATCATTACGACGCAAAAAGAAAAGAACTAGAAGCTTACACCTTCACCATCATCTCCACCACCATCACCATTACCACTTTGGGAATGGCAATTCTCAAGCGCCTAGAGCAAGTCCAGAGGATAGCGACGTCAGCTCGTCGCCCTCGCGCAAACATAAACTGGCAATACCGTCCAGCCTTGGTAGCGCTGCATCGCTACAGTCTATGAACTACTGTACAGAGAAGATCTCTAAACTGGAACCATCACCGCTGTGTCAAGGTCCAATGTCTTCCCCTTATCACATGACCACCACGCTGTCCATTCACAGAGCTTCGTCCATCAACTACCCCACAACAAACTCCAAAGATTTAAACCAAGGTGTAGCTTTTGGCAAGGTGGCCTCCGACAAGGATGGCAGTACACCCACCACGCCCGGTAATGGGTCACCAGGACGGTTACAGGAGAAGTGGACAGAGCTGTGCGGAGGCAACCATATGAGCAGATACAGCAAGCTGCCGCCCATCAAATCAGACCATCCAAAAGGTGCATTTATACCCAGTCTTCCAGATTTTCAGATGGCACTGTTTACTATGCTTACATTGCTACTAGAATGTGATAGTTGTTCCCAAATGTGACAGAATTATTCTTGATCTGAACGAAATAAGCAAAACTCTAATTATGAAGTTATCTATTAGAACAATTCAATATACCATCTTTAATTTATTATTGAAAACTTAATCAACCTTTGTGTAAGTGACCTGTCATAAAACCTTCATGATCTAAAGTCTGTGTCCTGTGAAGTTCATGTATCTGGCATTAGATCCAATTCATCGAAAGACAATATGATTATGTTTGATTATTTTATACCTTTCCAGATTAGACATACTTTTAAATTTAACTCTTTTGTCAGAGATGCCATATAGAACCAAACAGGTATATAAATATTTATTATTCAATAATTAAGTTTATGTAATTTAATTTGATTTATTCATCATCATAATACTTCTCTTTTTCGTAGATTCCTTGGCGCCGTCCCACCCACCCCTCACCCAGCGTCTCTCTGCTCCGCCCCTCACACAGCCTGGCAGCCCAAACTCCCACCTGACCCCGCCCTCATCATGTCTCGCCATGCATTCCTCTTGCCCTATCCATACACCCTGTCCCGTCCACACCCCCTGCCCCACCCATTCCCCTTGCTTCTCCTCCAAGAAAACTCATTCCAACTCTCATTCCTGCTCCCACGTCTGCACCTCTGCCGAGCACCACTCAGAATACGAGTGGAGCGACTCCTCCACCTCCTCCTCCACCGATGACTCCGATTCCGACTCGGACACGGAGAGCAAGGCCGAGATGCAGAGGCATAAAATACAGAAGCGGCGCTACAGGTTTGGGTGCTTAAGTGTGCTGACAGAGAAGGTGCAGGAGATCGTTGAGAGCAAGTACTTTATGAGGGGTATCCTGGTGTGTATCCTCATCAACACGCTCAGTATGGGTATTGAGTTCCATGGACAGGTAAGATGCTTCTATGCCTCTTGACTGCATGCTAAAGGGTTCATCTCCCTCATTTCAATGGCATGGGTTCGATCCCACCGCTGCCACCATGTTTTAATAGATGTTGGCCTTAGCGTTGATTCACTATAAATCCAACTAAACTAGCACAATATAAGACACGGACAACATCACGTTCATGTGTCTTAACCAAAAACTGATGAGTCTTAAAACTCTTTATTACGTCACAATCATTTGTGCGACCTAACAGTGTAGCTGCTCCTAATGAATATTCATACATATTCTTACACATTGTACTAACATTCTTTGGCAAGGCATTTATCTTCCATTTGCCACTCTCAACCCAGGTGAAGTAATTCATACTCGTAAGGATGAGATTCTTTTTGTTGATGACTTCTCATGGATGCTTGGTTTAAGCTGGGGGTAATAATGATTGGCTTGTATTCTTATGAAAAAGTGCTTTGTTGTTCCAACTTGATTGTTCTTATGAACCTGAGTCATGAGAGGCAGATGTCTTAAGAATGTCTTGTCCATAATATGAGCTGCTATCTGCAGCATTGCACTTACGGCATTGAATTCAAATTGAAAATACATTTTCAACTTTTTGCAATAAATTGCTAATGGTGTTGCTAACGTAAAGTAGTAATTTGTACCCTGAATGAATTTTATTTTAAAATTATTATTTTAATGTAATAATATGCATCATGGCTGTCTGTATAAATGACATGTACGTAAGAACAAATGATTTCATGTTGAATTCAAACAATAACATCAATTTTGATGAACAAGAAGAGACTACAAAATGAATGAGACAATTCAGGGTTAATTAATTACTCGTAGAATTAGTGACATTTTGTAATACCAATTTGTCACAATACAGGCAGTGTAATACTGTCAGGGTCGTGCTAATTGATTAGAATATTGTTGCTGACATCAAGGTCACATTCATTTTTTCAATGCCAAATAAATATCAGAATGAATGAGCAGTGAAGTAATGGAAGGCCCCAAAGAGGATAATAAATAATAAAATAATATTTAGCTTTTATTAAGCGCTTAATACAAATTTCTCTAAGTGCTTTACAAATATGCTATTACCCTGGTCATTGGATTCAGTGCTTGCCCGCATACTCCCTGGGGAGCATTCCAGCCAGGCGTTACTTGACGCTCAAAAACTGTTTGACCACAATGACGGTCGCATCCTACCGGGTACCCATTTAACACCTGGGTGGAGAGTAGCAAGTGCAGGTTAATATCTTGCCATAGGATATTAGCGCCTTGTCGGGATTCAAACCCTCGACCTTCGCATCTCCAGTCAAGCGCCTTAAACCACTCGACCAAGACACTCCCGTAGGATCCTTATTCTAAACACCCAATTGCAATGTCAAACACCCATCACCCTTGTCCTACATTATTGTTATAGATGTAGATGCGATCAACAGTTCCGGTATGCTCTTGGCCCATGGCACATATTTCACTCCCATCAAAGATTGTTAATTGCTGTATCCAATGTGCCGATCCTTGACCCTGGCAACACCAAAATAGATTTTAGATGACCCGATAAGACACGTGATATAAACCCAGAATAGACAGGATAGACATTAAATGCGGGGGTTGTCATGGAGGATGGAATTCTTATGGGTTCATGGTAGGTCATAAAGCAGGAAGGATTGGGGGAGAGAGAAAGAGAGGAGAGAGAGAGAGAGAGAGAGAGAGAGAGAAAGAAAGGGGGGGAGAGCAAGACAGATAGACAGAGATGAAGACTGATCTAGATAAAAGGGACAGAGAGAGAGAGAGAGAGAGAGAAAAAGAGACGGAGGGAGAGACAGAGACAGAAGGACAGAGACATACAGACGATGAGACAAAGGGAAAGGAAAAACTGCAGGTAGAGGGAGGGGGCCAGAAGGCAGAAATATATTGAAAGAGAGACAGCTAGAGACGCATGGAGCAAAATGGGAGAAATATATCTAGAGCAATTCAAATCCAGTGCAAAGGTGAAAGAGAAGTGAATTCAGCATGAGGAGATGGGCTTCTACAAAACCAGTGAAAGCTCTATGGGATGTATCCCAACGAGAGATTCCAGGAAAAATGTAAAGAGTGCATCTATAGGTGTGTGTGAAAGAGAAGCTGAGATTGTGAAACATAATTATGGCAATGGAAAGGGATAGATTTTGGACTAAAAGATCTCAAGTCTATGGGAAATGGCATAGATATTTAAAAGGAAAATAATGAATGGATGGATGGATGGATAGATGGATGGAGAGAAAATAAAACGTAGACCATTCACAAGGGTATGATCAGTGTCAGGTTTAGCACTCGTTCAGCTCGTTAGATAATCTAATTATACTAATCAATATCTTCCTCCCAACAAGGGATCGTTAATTCATGCGTCGATGACCAATGTTAGATCATCCATCAGTACACTAACGAGAAGGGTTAGAAGTTCATAGCCAACCATCGTACATACAGCTGTGGTATCATACAAGTAAATGGAAGTAAGGTGAGCAGAAGGATCTAGGAGTGAGAGGGATTGGTATCGAACATACACAAATAGTGAAATATTAGATATAAAAAGGAAATGAAAAGATGTAAATGGAGAGACTGAAAGATAGAGAGAGAGAGAGAGAGAGAGAGAGAGATCGCTTCAATTACTTAATCAAACAAATATTATTACGATATTGATTGAAAGAGGTTAATAGCAAGACAATAGGCTATATTAGGGTACTTATTAGGTTACAACAACAGAGTCAACCATGTGCATGACCCAATTCCATGATATTATATGCTCTCCAACTAGAAATTTTAATGCCTTTTGAACTATGATAAGATAAGGCATCCTATTTTCTATCAAGCCTAATTGGCCGACTGTCAAGCCAAAGTCAGCAGACTGAGAGACGGTGACAGGGGGACCTATAAACGTGATGTGAGCTACAGGTCATAAATTCCTTCTTCCCAAGTTGGACATTGTATGGTCACCAGCTGGTCAAAGCAGCTATTACATTAGGAATGACCCACCACCAATGGAGATTAAACACCTAGGAAATTGTCACAGTGGTAGGGGGTAAGATACCAACCCCAGCATGGTAACAGGGTGGGGTGGGGGCAAAGTAATGATTGACCCACCACCAATGGAGATTGAACACCTAGTAAATTGTCACAGTGGTAGGGGGTAAGATACCAGTCCAAGTATTGAAAAGGGAAATGCAGGGAGGAGGGGGGGGGGGGGGGGGGGAGCGGAGATATTTATGGATGATAATGCATTAATTACCCAGTGGTACCGTGAGGGGGGGGGGGGCGTCAAATATGATTGAACCATTATCAGTGAAAATTAAATACCTAGGTAATTGCTACAGTGGTAAGGGATAATAAAGCAACCCCATCATTAAATGAGGGGAGGGGGATGGAATAATGATTGTCCTAATACCAGTGAACAATAAACACTTGACAATTGTCAGTGGTGAGGGGTTATATGCCAAATCCGTTGTGGGACTGGGGAGCTTGATATTTAATGAGACGCCTTTTTAAGTCTTCCTTAGCCCAGTACCGCCGCTTGGGTCATTCTAACTGGCATTGACCAGGCGAGGGGGCTAGTGTTTAGAAAGACGTGTGGCCTTTGGCATGATGCGAAGACCAACGTGACACATCGAGGCGTCCTACTTTCATGCACCTGTCTCTGTGTTTATGAAGAGGTAGTGAGATATTGCTGTAGACATGGACAGAGAAGTTGAAACTATAACAGTATCCCATTTGTTATGACCACATGCAGAGAGTATTATAGTACGTCTACATCTTCACTAGATAGCTTGTCACGTACAGTGTATACTGTACGTCATACTGCAGTCATGATTAAATCTCCTTGATAGAATTAATGTAAGACACAAAAAGAAATTAGATTGGAATTAGATGGGATTTAGTGGGTAAGCTTACTGTGTGGTTATGAGTGATTAAGACTGAATACTCATTCCAGCTATCTAGTGAAGATGTAGACGTACTATACTCTCTGCATGTGGTCATAATAAATGGGATACTGTTATAGTATAATAATATAACAAACATGGCTTGGCATGGTTCTGGATATTCTGTTTAGATACTAAGCTTACCTCAAAGCAATTTGTATTGTGCTCAATCATATACATATACAGCATATGATTTCATTTCAAATATATTTTTGCTTGAAACTATCTTTATATTTATGTAATATATAAGATTTGTAAGGCACCAATCTACTTGATATCAAATGCTCAAGGCACAATAGTGCAAAGATGAAATCATACATAAGCGTCTGCATTATACACAAAAGAAAAAGATGAGTAAGATAGAACATAAAGAAATGAAAGAGAACAATTAATCATATGTCCATTCAAAAAGACCAATTTTAGATCATATTTGAACACTTCAACTTATATGCTAGTACAAATTTTTAAAACATTAAAACAGTGAGACAGGGGTATTATTACCTTGAGAACCCTTGGTGGATACTAGGGGACCTTTTCTTGGAACATGTCTAATCCTTTTGATCGGTGTGGTCTTGGTATAGTATGACAATGGACAACACACCTGAGAGGGGATAGATGTAAGAATTGAGTGATGGGCTTGTCTGCATACCTGCACGTACCCCACATCACAGTACACCTGACCAGTGAGGTACATACAGTCCAAGCATGATACACCTGTCACACCGCTGAGGCCGATGCTAGACGGACGGTGGAGAAAACAGAAAAGAACACCGACCCGAATGACCAAGATTCTGTCAGTTATCGGTTGGTTCGGAGTAGTCTGTTGTTGTGACCGGGGTATAGGCACACAATCTCTTTGAAATAAACTGTAGAATCCAACAGAATAGAACTCCATACAGATTCATAAAAGCTTTGATGTCAACACTGCATTGTTTTAGAATTGGAAGTACATTTTTTCTTCTCCCAAATCATTCTTTGAGTATAGCATTTTGTTATAGCTTCTGTAAAATGTAGTGTATGCAAGACAACGGGAACTGTGTGATTAATCAA